TTTTTTTTTTTTTTTTTTTTTTTTTTTGAGGTACCAGAAATCGAACTCAGGGCTTTGCACTTGCTAGGCAGGCACCTGTGCCACTGAGCTATGTCACCAGTCCCACATTTAATTTTTCAAATTTCAAAAATCATTATATATGTTAGAAATATAAAATAATTCTCATAAGCTCCTGGAAGTTAAAGTATATTGCTTAGTTAGGAGATTGTAAACTGCTTATGTATGTCTTGAAACTAAGAGGTCTCCTGTTGTTTAAATCCTTTGGTTATTTCCCAGTGTAATCAAATTCATTTCTAGTTTTTTTTTTCCTATTGTTTGAATCTTAGACTTTCTTGCAAGTTGTCAAGGCTTTCATTATCATCTCTCCCCCATTTTATTAACAGCCCTCTTCACTCTTGCTTCAAGTTAAAACAATGAAATTTTAGTCCATTTATTCTGGTCTGTCAAACCTTTGTTTTGATGGGAGAGGTGGTTTGAGACAGCCTTACTGTGTAGGTAGGCTGGCCTTGAACTTACTATGAATTCAGTGATCCTCCAGCAAGTTGACTCCCAATTTTTAATTGAATAATTTATATCTCGAATAATTTCACATTTAGTATGTGTTTTAAAGTTGCTTTTAAGGGGCTGGGGAGATAGCTAGGTGGTCTTAAGTGCCTGCCTAGCAAGTGGAAGGACCCAGGTACAATCCCCAATATTACATGTCATGCCGGCCCCAGAACCCTGGGCACACCGTGCCAGCCACCAAGACTGAGCGTGGTGGCACATGCCTGTAATCCCAGCACTGGGGAGGCTGAGACAGGAGGATCACTATGAGTCTGAGCTGCATAGTTTTGCTGTGTAGTGAGACACTGTACCAAACAAATGTTTGGGGTTTTTTTAAAGGTTGGTTTTTAAGTTTTTGGTTTGCATTTGTGGTTTTTTACTCCACATGGATTTGAACTTTGAACATCCAAGTAAGGCATAACAAGTCTTGTTAATTTAGTATCAGAAAAAATATAATATGATTAGATTAAAATAGTTTTTGTAGTATGCGTATGTACATACAGCATCTCCACTTTTGGAGTGGTTTTATTGTATTTCATCTTTTTAAGTGTGTGTTGAAAGAATAGTAGCTATTTTGTATTTCAGTTAAAATGAATCAGTTCTATATAGTGTGTTCAGACTTTTAAGAAAGCTCTGTTGCTTTTACTAACATATATAGTAACAATATATTCTATCAACTAATCACTCACTTTTGTAAGCTAATACTTTTTTTCTATTAGGAGCCACTGGAGAAGCAGATAAAACGTCCAAAGTGCCTTATTGCGGATTTTAGCAAACCTGAGGTAAATAAATACTTTGCAGGTTTGAAAGACACAACAGAGTGGGGGATGGGAATTGGTAAGTGACTATAAAGTTAAAATGGAGTAAGCATGTGTATACTTTGCTGTGAGGTTTTCATAATAATAGTTAATTCAGATATTTAAAATTAATTTCAAAGGATTAAGAACCAGGGGAAAATATTAGAATAAAAAAAAAAAGATTTTTAATTTTGTAGTGATTTTCTAGCTTTGATATTAAAATATAATTTCAATAATGTTACATTATGATTGTATTAAAATACTTTAACCACATAGAGCTTTATATAATACAAAAAACCTTAACAATGCACTATATTTTTCTTTTAAGTCACTGCTTATGATTTTGTACCAGTAAATGTAATTGTGATAAGAATGAACAATTTCAAATTTAAATTTTAATGAAGAAAATGATAAGTTTATCTTGTATAAATGTTTTGTTACTGTTGCTCAGTTGATACACTCTTTAAGTTTCCTGTGAATGACCTGGTTATGCTGTATACCACCTGAAATAGAAACCTGGGGCCTTGAAGTCAAGTCATTTTACTTCTCTTGTGATAATCATAGTGTCATGTGTTTATTGTCAAGATTAAATTAAATATTATTAAAGCATTTAGCATAGTGCCTAGAAATACTAAACACTAAATATTGGCCCATGTTTAATGTTCCTAAATAGGTACCTTTGCAGATTCACACAGCTATGCTTGCATTGGACCAATTTCAGGAGAACTACAGTCGCAAGCCAAATATTGGGTAATGTCTGTGTAAAAGAGGTTAGCTGGGCATGATGGTACACACCAGTAATCCGAGCGCTGGGGAGATGAGGCAGGAGGGCTACAAGTTAGCAGTGTAACAAGACCCTACTCAAAATTTAAAATGAGTGCATGCAGTATTTCAGAAGTAGTAATTTTCTCTTTTTAGATATGTTTTTGTATTTATTTGTTGAAAACTCTGAAGGGTTATAACCGGATCATAATAGTTACTATCTTGGAATGATGGAATCGTAAGTGGTTTCTTCTTTTTAAATTGATTTTATTGGTATCTTGCTATATACCTAATCACATTCAACATAGGGAATTGTACTTTTCAAAAAGTTAACTGAGCCTCCTTATACTTGTAGTGCCAGTTAAATTCACCAAGCTCTAAAGCATTTATTATGACTTTGTGGGGTTTTTTATTTTTTTGGTTGTAGCTAATTTATAAACATGGAATCATATTAAGTGGGAGTTTTCCCATTTTGAAGACTAGAAACAACATTCTAAAACAAAAACACCAGAGAATGACTGTTTATCCATGATGTTTCTTTTCCTTGTGGCCTAAGTCAAAAGTAAAAAACCTTATGTATTTATAAGTAAATTTTATATACTGTTTTTAGGTGATCATGATTTTTAAGTAATGTAGTTATAAGCCAGTAATCTTTAAGTCAGTGAATTTAAATTTATGTTAAAATTTTAGTCCTAAATGTGACCTTTTTATAGCAATTGAGGAAATTGAAGTTGAGGTGCTTTGTTTTTTAAATCACAGATACCAAGAAGATACAGAAGAGCTATTGAAACTAGCAGCATCCATAAGTGAAACATTGGATGCCAAGGTAAATATTTAAAATTATGGCTATGAAAGGACTTGATTGAAACATACAAACATTTTATATATATTATTAATCTCCTATGCTTCAAGTCCCAGGTATGCTCCTTACTAATTACACTAGGCAAGTTTTGTTACTTTTTTCTGCTTTACCTTATGAATTTGTGAAAAGGTATTCACCTTCCTTCAAAGGTTGTTGTGAACTTGAGTGATTTGATTTTGTAAAGTATAGCACTTGGAATATTAAGATAATTAGTGTTCACTGTTGCTGTTGTGTTAATATTATTAGCATTATTTGTGTTCTGTTCTGATTTACTTGAATTGTTACCCCTCTTAGCACTATTTGAAGTCTTTGGCTTTTCTTATATCACCTTAGTCTTGAATGTATCACTCAGAAAATGATTTTTTTGTTTTAGAAATAGAGTGCCTTCCAGACAACAATTTCAGTTTAAAAGCTATTGATATAGCATTGTTTGTACAGTTATTTGAAAATTTTAACAGCTTTTGTCTTTTTTGTAAAATGAGAAATGAAGGTCTAAAGTGATAAGTTTTGATCTTACGTTAAATAATTCAAAGAAGGAAATAAATAATGCTAGAAGTAGTGAATCTATAAATGAATTTTTATTATATATTTAGCGATTATAGAAAAAACTATGAGAAAATAGAAATAGATACAAATGTATAATTAAAGAGAAATGTGTCATTAAGAATTTACCTGGCTTATTGAGGTACAATTTACATAAATTTACCCTTTTTAGGTGTAGGCCAAAAAAATTCTGTGCACATGTAATTTAGCTGAACACCATGAATTTAAAGTATACAGTCATGTAGCCACCACCATAATCAAGATACAAAACATTTCCATATGCCAAACGGTTCCCTCATGCCTCTTTATAGTCATCTAACTCACCTGCAACCAAAGCCTGATAGCCATTGTGGTTTTTTTCAAAATGTCATGTAAATAGAATCATATGATGCCTAATCTGAGTCAAATCTGGTCTCTTTTACTACATATACATGAGTTGGGTTTCATTTATGTTGTTACATGTTCATTCCATTTTGTTGCTGAATGGTATCCATTGTAGATGGAGCATGTTTTGTCCCTTGCCAGTTATTGAACACATGGGTTGTTTTCTTTTGCAGAACCGAGGATTGAACTCAGGCTCTTGTGCTTGCCAGGGAAGCACTTATTCCACTGAGTCATCTCCCCAGCCCATGGGTTGTTTTCTAATTAGATTGATTGTGAATAAAGCAAATATAGATGCTTGTATATGGGTGATATTTATATATGGACCTTGAGAAGGATTTTTTTTTTTTTTTTTTAATTTGGCTGGCTCAGGCTGCCTTAAGGGCAGGTCTGGTGTGGCATGTCGTCCTGGGGATCGACCCCCAGTCCCTTTCCCCTGACTGATTTTGCTCAAGAAAGCACTTTACATAACTGAGCTAGCCCGCCAGCCACTATATATGGTCTTCGATGTGGATGTATATTTCCATTTCTCTTGGATAGTTGTCTAGAAGTTTATTACAGATTTATGTGATAGGTATTTTGCAAAGCAGTTGTATCATTCCCTTCCTAGGAGTATACTTTTCAGTTCATCTAGATTCTTCCAAAATCTATATTGTCTTCTGTTTTAACCAGTTTAGCATGTGTAGTTCTATTTGGTTGTGAATATAATTTGTACTTACTTAATGGCCATGAATTTGAGCTGTTTTATTTTCTGATTATGTTTATTAAGTTTTTTTAATATTTTGAATGACAGTCTTTCTCAGCTACATGTTTTACAAACATTCCGTTAAGCTTTTCCAATTATTCTCCATAATGTTTTGTTGCCACTTCATCCTAAAATTTAGTTTAATTTAATTTAATTTGCAGTGCTGGGGATTGAGCCCAGGGCTTTGCACATGGTAGGAAAGCATCTACCACTGAACTATGTCCTCACTCCCTAAAATATTTTTAACTTAACATCAGAAGGTTCTTCTCCTGTGTTTTCTTTAGAAAATTTATAAGTTGATAGTTTTGTAAGTTTGTTTTTATGTACTGTGCAAGGTACCAATCAAGACATGTCGTCAAAGTTCACATAAGACATGTGTGCATAGTTTTATGCTAATTTCATGCTCTGTGAGCTCATTTTATATACATTACAAAGTACAGAGAAAGATTAATTTTGATGTTCATTAATGTCCAGTAACTATACTTCATTTCATGAAAACACCCTTCTTGGCATTCCTACAGATTCTTCCCCTTTTTTGTGAGGGTAGAATAGATCATTTTTGCCCTTCATTTTTTAATTCCTGATTCAAGGTATTTTGTTATTTTCCAAGTGTTCCTTGGAAGAATATATAATTTATTCAGACGTATTTGATACAGCAGCACTGTCAGGATACCTGGAAAGGGTTGTCCTTGGTGGACTTCTGTGTGAGTGGTGTTGGCATGGCATAGAGGTATCTTTGATTGTTGTCAAATCTTTAATGTCATTCTCTACCAAAGGGTAACTTCCTTTTTGATAGTTACATCACTCCAAGAATTCTGTTATCCAGCCAATAATGGGACTTGACCAGTTTGTACCTGTGTTAGGTGTGTCTTACATTTAGGGTGTGACTCTTTATTTTCCAGAATGATTTTGACTATGCTTTGTTACCACAGGCTTTCACTGTATGTGCAGTGCAGCCTGTGCCAGTGTGAGGTCCAGTTTGCCCTGCAAGGGTCTCACATCTGCTGATGACTTTTAACAGTAACTCGAAGCTTGTAATTTGTTTCCTAGCAGTGTTGAAGACCTGTCACTGTTTTCTTGCTATTTCTGTGGCTGGGCATCATGTATTTGAAGATTATGTGTGGAAATTTAGATTTAGGTTGTTATCATTATTCTAGGGCAAGTGAAAATTCCCAAGATTTGGATGTTTGTATGTTTACTAAAAAGAATAGAATTTTGAAAGGTAATGTAACATGTTAACACAGCTGTGAAGTTGAACTTCATGGGTTCACATCTTGAACTGTACCACTTGTTGGCTATAAAATATTAGATAAAGTTACTTAATATCTTAAAAGTTTGTTTTCTCACATAATAAAAATGTTTCCTCAGATCATTTTAAATATTATGTAAGGACTTGAGATATATTTCTCACAGTGGTACTTATTCAAACTGTTTCTATTACCATACTAGCTTATTTAACATTGTCACCACCAACAGTATGTCTACTTTAAAGAAAAGGTGCTACTTAAATTATAGTCCTTCTGAATTAAAGGTATTGCTAATGAGATACAGGTAATTGAACAGAAACATTGGAGTAATGAGTAGATTTCAACCATTTCTATTTCACAGATATTTTTGAGAATGTAATAGAATTCTTCTCGCCCCTCTGATGTCCACAAGATATGCTAGTTTTCATAGGAAGTCCGAGTAATTGAACCTTACATAAAGCCTCAGGGTAAAATTAAGGTTACTAATTTTGAGAGAATAGGAAAAGAAAGAGAAGCCAGAGCTTATGAAAAGGTCCTCATTACAAATAAGTAGTTGTGCTGACACCGTAGTTCCAGTATTGCCTTTAAAAAAAAAATTATTTCTTTTTTGAGAAATGCTTGTTTTTAATTTTAGTCATTGAGAATGTCTCATTCATCACTTTCAACACAAATTAATTTTATGGATCACTTTATTTTCATTTATCGAGGTTTAAAGTTTTTCTGTAGATTTCATTACTTTTTAAAAATGCTGGGTTTATAAATATGATTGACTGGCATATTATGTAACTGCTTAACAACAGCTATAAATGGTAGCTATTCCTACTGTTTCTGAGGCCGTCAGCAGGTAGGTATGTAAAATCAGAAAGCAAAACTGGGCTGATACTAGTTCAAAGAAGTACAGCTGAAGATAACATACATATGGGTCTTTTTTATCATGAGACTGAGACTTAAAAATCTAGTTAGTAGGGAAATTGAGTAGTTTTGTTAGAGGTTAAGTTCTAATCATTCTCACATGTAGTCATTGGAATTCTAAGAATGCTGATGAATACTGGTAGGACTATAATCTGCCTTGGTTTGTATTTCAGCCTGAAGTGGATACTGACATTGTGCGTTGGCTTGCCTGGACTGCCCGAGGCTTTTTATCTCCACTTGCTGCAGCAGTAGGAGGAGTTGCCAGTCAAGAAGTACTGAAAGCTGTGACTGGAAAATTTTCCCCTTTATGCCAGTGGGTTAGTTCTTAATTTTTGTATTTCTTTATATATGAGGTTGCATTCTCCACTTACAGACTGAATGTGTTATGTATCATAATGTACTAAATGATGTGTTAGAAAAGTGACCTTCTAGTATTTTCAATGCATGAGAGAAAAGAGGGTTATATGCTTTCCAAAGCCTAAATACAAGACTGGCTTAACCCCTGTGACCTTCTGTGGTGTGTCCCCTCTCCTGTGAATGTGAACTATTGGATTTCCTGTCCTCTAGGTTTTCTCCATGATTTGTCACTTAGCATTTTGGGGCTCACAGGACTCTTACACCTGTTCCATGAAATGCTTTGCCATCATCAATCTTCAAGTCCCCTTCCCAGATGTAAATTTCTAAAGGTGTACAGTACATAGGAATCTTACAGGTTTAACAATTGTGTAGAATAAAAACATCATTGAGATCGTATAAAAACCCTCATTTCTGTTACCAGAAGGAAAAGCTGTCAAAATTTATCAAATGACACATTATTCAAGCCTCTTTTGTTTTGAAACAATTTAAATATTTTGAGTATAGCATAATGTCCACATACTGATATTTTGCTGCTGAGTAATATGGAATACAAAGTGATTAGGAGAAACTTGGTTTGTTTACAATGGCTAGCATCATAGAAATTAATTTTATTATTGAGGTAAACTTGTAATTTAACATAACTGTTTGCTTATATTCAAATTTAGCCATGTAGGTTACTTTAACTGAATTTTATACTTAGGGGGCCTACTCCTTAGCTCAGTTTTTTTTGTTTTTTGTTTTTTTTTAATAGAACCGGGGATTGAACTCAGGCCCTTGCACTTGCCAGGCAAGTGCTTATTCTGCTGAGCCATCTCCCCAGCATTGTAGGTTACTTTAAGTGAATGTTAGAGTCAGACTCTTATTTTTATTTTCTAATTGAAATTAATTGTGTTTTATATCTTTAAAAATGTTGAAATTGTGGCTTCCCAAATTATTTCTTCTATAGGGTACTTGTTATAGATGATATACTAGAACTTGAAAATCAGTACAGAATGGGTGTATAGAAATGACTTTCCTGTCAAACACTAATTAGATTACTTCAGTGTTGCTGAAATTGAATGGGACTTCCAAGTTTTTAAATTACAAAAAACAGATTTGGAGGTGAGATTTCCTTTTAAGAATAAAAGATACTTTTAGGATGGCTAAGTTACATGCGTTAAATTAGGTCTTTCAGAAGTTCTTTCATGTTTTACGTCTATTGAATGACAATATAGAATATGTAGTAAAAAGTTTTTAAACTGTTTTATTCTGAGTTGGCATTTTTATCATCTTTTCCCAGGTTTATAAGGTAACTGTAGAACAGCTATTTTTAGTAATTTAAGTTTTATATATAATAATAATTTTAATCTTCCACTTTTAAGTTATATCTTGAAGCAGCAGACATTGTCGAATCCCTAGGCAAACCTGAATGTGAAGAATTTCTCCCACGGTAATGCTAAAATTTCTATTATTTTATATTTCTATAAGAGACAAATTAAGATTTTATGTAAACATCCATTTCAAATTTTGTCTTTTCTCTTAACTCATTTACTTCTGCATTTGTTTCTTATCTGCTTAAGGCTTAAGTGTGGTACTGTAATATCAGATGAAAAAATTTTTTCTACAGTCTTTATATCACTCATTTCATAAATCTCTTTCAGTTTTACCTGATGAAAATTCACAGATTTTATTCTCCCTGAAAGACACAATTCAGAGTTCTACCTTCAATTTCACTCGGTTAACAACTTCAAAGTCTACTCACAGATTCTCTTTCAGAATTGTCTTAAAAATCGCTGAGAAAGAGTTTCTAGATATAGTATTTGCCCCCCCCATATAGTTCAACTTTTTAAGATTTTAGTTACTTGCAGTTCAAAAAAATGCTAAGTAGTAAATTCCAGAAGTAAATAGTAAGTTTTGAATTGTTCATTGTTTTTGTAGCATATTGAATCTCACCCAGAGCCTAACTCACCCTTTTTTCCATCATATCCATGCTGATACCCCTTGGTCACTTAATCGTGTATCATTATCAGAGGAACTGGGTAGATCACATATAAAAATGCACTCTTATTTTACTTAAAAATTGTCCCAAAATGCAAGAGTAAGGATGCTGGCAATTTGGACATAACAAAGAAAATTCTGTCTTTAAATGAACAGGTAAAAAGTTCTCAGTAAGCAAAGAAAAAAGATAATTTGCTAAGTGGCTGAGATCGGTAGTGAGGATGAATCATGTAACTCAAGTTGGGAAGAAGAAGAAAAAACAAAGTTATACTAATTTTTCCATCACGTGAAACAACAAAAATTAAAACATAGTGTATTAATTACTGAAGTGGAGAAAGGCATAAAATTGTGTGTGTGTGTGTGTGTGTGTGTGTGTGTGTGTGTGTGTTTGTCTATATGTGCATGTGTTCAGTGTGCATAGATATCAGTACCATCCTGATTTCAGGCATCCAGTAGGAATATTGGAACGTAGTCTACATATCCTCTACGGGTTCTGTTTTGTTTTTTGTTTGTTTGTTTTTGTTAGTTTATTTTGTTTGTTTGTTTTGGGGTACCAGGGATTGAACTCAGGACCTTGTGCTTGCCAGGCAAGTGCTTCTTCTACTGAGCTGTCTCCCCGGCCCTCTGAATAAGGATTACTGCTATAAATGAAAGTCCTCTTCACTGCTATCAGTAGCACTTAAGCTATTAAGTCAGATGGGAAAAGGAAAAACTGGGTGTTTTTTATGAGATCTTTTTTCTTGAAACAATGTAGTTCATCTGTTATAGGTTGGGGAAAACAAAATTATATTGTTTTAAAGCACAATACTTGTTATTAATGATAATGAAACTAATCTTAGTTTTTTTGTATCTCTTGTCCTATGTTGTTTTCTTCAGAGGTGATAGGTATGATGCTTTACGAGCCTGCATTGGAGATACTTTGTGTAAAAAGCTACAAAATTTGAATATCTTTTTGGTAAGTAAAGATGTGAATAAGTAGTACATTGGAGCTGCAGTTCTATATTATAAATTTATTAAAGGCATAGTTGAATCTAACTTAACAAGGGTCTGAATGAATGGTTGTAATAGAAACTAGATGGCCTGCAAACTTGAAAATATTTACTGTCTGGCCCTTGACATGAAGTTTGCCAACCTGTGGTCTAAAATATTAATACAATTCAAATGGAATTTTTTTTTGACACAGGGTCTAATTATGTAGTTTGGACTGTGTCACACTCATAGTACTCTCGTGCCTCAGCCTTCTGAGTGCTGAGTATGACAGTTTTTAGTGTGTAATGATTTTCAGAAATACTTAATAAATTTTTCTTATTTTTGTTTTTAACCAAATGAATAAATAGTATTTGTGTTTTTTTCTCTTAGCTCTCTTAGTGCATTTCCAGGGAAGTTTTCCTGAACAACATACAAGTCCTTGTTTATTGTTATTTTAAGTCACTCCTGAAAACATTACTAAATTTTATTAATCATTGTAAAATAATGTTTTGATGACTAATTACTGCAGACTTTTTCATATATGAAATCTGATATCAATTTTTTATTGTTTTTACTTAAAATTATTAGGAAAGCCCTAGCATCACACATTCATCTGATGAGTTTTGAGAAATACTTAAAAGTAAGAACACTTTCATGAGTGTGCTAATGTTTTTTGAAATTCATTTGCCATTTTAAAATGTCTCTTGCTTAAGGAAATTATAAATATGATGCCTATATAGTTGTGCTTTTTTTTTTTTTTTTTGAGACACCTGATAAAGGCATAGTAAACCTAATAAATATTTTGGAGTATGAGTCACTATAGTCAAATTATTGTTAGCATATTCTTGCCTGCTTGAACCACCAGGTATATATGCATGACTGTCCTGTTGGGCAGGTATTCTACTGGTGGCATAAACATATCTAATCACTTTATCGGTCTTTTTACCAATAAAATTAATGAAGTTGCCCAATGGGGCAGTCATGCATGTAATGCCAGTGATTCAAGTCACCCAACATTGAGAAGTATGAAATATAGCTCCATTGTGAACATGTTAAAGTGTGTATCTTTTGCAACTTAGTATTAAAATTAGAATGAAATCCATTTTCAGTTGACATCTCATGTAATCTGATATGTTGCTTTTCTCCTCCATAGGTAGGATGTGGCGCCATAGGCTGTGAAATGTTAAAAAATTTTGCCTTGCTTGGAGTTGGTACAAGCAAAGAGAATGGAATGGTAAGATACGAATTTGTAAGTTAAAGCATATATTTCTATTGGTCTTTCTTAAAGTGTATTTGACTATGCATGTGTATGTGTTTTATCCTTAAAAACCATGAGTTTTTAAGGATAGAGCATTAAACTACTAAGCAGAAGATTCTGTTGTCTACTGACCACTTTTCCGATTATGTAGTTTTGTTACAGATTATTTTAATTCTGTTGCCTCGTTCCTTTCTAATATAGTGCTCAAAAAAAGCAATCTGTCCTACCTACCTCACCTCATAGCACTATTACAAAGATCAAATGTGAATGCTTTGCAAAGTAAAACTCTTGGTTATTATCTCTGTTATATACTATTAACTGTAAAATCTTTTAAGAGAAGAAATTTGAGAGTATTCAGAAGTAGTTTTGATTGGTCAGTAATGTCATGGGACTGTTACAAACTTTGATGTATAACTTATGTTCATAAGACTAAATGTGGGCCGGGGAGATAGCTCAGTAGAATAAGCGCTTGCCTGAGTTCAATCCCTGGTACCACAAAAACAAAAGACTAAATGTGAGCTATGTGACCCTGTCATACACTTAAAATGTTTCATTAGTGGTGTTTAACATTTTAAGTTACAAATTAGCTTTAGTAAGTTTTTTAGATGTATCATGTTGGCCAACATAATGATTATTTTAAGTGTTTGTGTATCTAGGCACAGTAGAAAGAGAAATTCCAGAGGCAGAAATCAAGAGAAAGATAAAATCCCAAAAAAAGTATCACGAAAATCACGAAAAAGAGTAATCACGAAAAAGTAATCGTGACTCACAAATGTTATCTCCAGCTTGATTCTTTCCAAAGCATTAACTAGAAAGGAAGTTACTCATGAGAAAAATAAAACTCAGAGCACATGCCATATTGATGTATGTGTTCAAAATTATGTTGTATAAAATCTTCAAGCAAAGGATATAATATATGTAGAACTTTTGAAATCTCAATATCCTTAACTAAAGCAACTGTCAAACTACATCATACTAGTACTTACACAGATCATCTAAAACTGCAGGAGATCAACAGCTGTGCATGGTGAATCACTTAATAATGATTAGTAAGACGCAACCAGCCCACAGAAGAATCAGTCAAGGCAAATAGAAGAATGAGTTCTCTTTGTAGCTAAGAGAACTGTTGCAGTCCAGTTAACCTGCATGGGAGAATAAACTTTAAAGTGACAAATGACCAAAGATAAAAAGAAAAACAAAACAAAAAATAGAACTCTGAAATTTTTGCAAAATGTCAAATAAGAGTTTTTATGTATTTGGTACAGGGTCTCACTATGGAGCTTGGACTCATAGTGATCCTCTTGTTTTCAGCCTCCCCAGCTGCTGGGATTATAGGCGTGCCTCAACACACCTGGCCTCTGTTTCAGGTACAGTGCTACCAGGGTGTGGCCAGCATGGCATGCTGTACCAGGAATTGAACCCTGGTTCCTGTGCTTGCCTAAGCAGATGCTTAATCTATTGAGCTGTCTCACTGGCCCTCAAGAGTTTTTGAATTTAAAAAAAAAAAAATTTTTTTTTTGAATAATGGTAAATTTAGCCGGGGAGATAGGTCAAGTTGAGTAAATGCTTGCCTGGCAAGTGCAAGGTCCTGAGTTCAATCCCTGGTACCATAAAAATAAATAAGTAAATAAATTCAGATATAACTGATGTGAGAATAGGAAAATAAAAAATAAACACTCAGAATGGAGAGCAAAAAGATACCTTTTTTGAGAAAGAAGATGTATTTGTAATATCCAGCATAAGTCTTGTGGAATTTACAGAGAAAGTAAAGATACTGGAGAAGCATCAATATAATACATTAAAAAGATAAAGATAAAAGTTCCCACAATTCAAGATATATGTACATATTATGAAAAAGTAACTAATTCCACAGAAATCAAAGGTAGATAAAAAGAGAAGGTGTGTTAACATATATCTGATACTAAAATAAATGCTAGAAGATGGTGGAAGCTTTTTTTTTTCTTAAATGTATTTGGTATAGGCTCTCACTATGCAGCTTGGACTCACAGTGATCCTGCTCTGCTTTCAGCCTCCCCAGTGCTGAGTTTACAGGCATTCGCCAGGTGGCTAGCTAAGCCATCTGAGGGGCGAGACCAGGGCCAGCGCAATGTATAGCACCCAGGATCAAACTGGAAGCTTTTATTTGTAGTGCAAAAGAATATGATTGTCAGATTTCTGTATTGAGCTATCTTTCAAAAGGGAGGGCCAAGTAGAGATAACTGACAAATGATAAAAGATTATCACCATTGGTCCTTAAAACTACTAAATAATGTGGACACTTAAAGGTGGATAAGCAGAGGCACTCATTAGCAATGTAATTTAAATGGAAGTTGACTTTAAAAACTGGTAAATAATGACTGGTTTGGGAGTGGGGTGGTCAAAAACTATAAAAATGTGAATTGATATTGATGGAAAGTACAGGAGAATTGCAAATTAAATGGTTTATATTCTCTTTTCAAGAAAAGGATAGAGATGTCAATTAATTTTTTTAATTTTAAGTTATATATGTATGATAAAATTTGAGCATAATCTCATAAAAATAGACATTTAATGTCCAAGCAAGTTGAAGTAAAGAATACTAATTAATTTAGTAGAAGACTAAGTTTGTAAGAGGTAAAAGTACCAAGGCATATGTAAGTAATCACAATTATAAGTTCACTAAGGCTTTTGTTAAAGACATTTTCTGTTTGATTTTGTGCTGTTGTTCAATTGAAAAAGATACCATAACATAATCACACAGAAATGTAGAAGTAATAAAGAAATACCATAAAAACAAATGAATAGATCTGTGGATACCAGTCAACCTTAACAACTAGAAACACAGTTCAAAAATACTAGCTTAAGGGCCAAGTGCATTTTGAGAACAAATATAAAAGCATAATATTGGTGGTGACTTTGGAATGTTTATATTCTTAGGATCTTTACTAGCCAAAACATTTATAATATGCACACGCTATTTTAGTGATACTGAGAAAACAAAATAGATTATCTGTTGTGTTCACCTCTTTCCATTAGGTTACAGTTACAGATCCTGACTTGATAGAAAAATCAAACTTAAATAGGCAATTCCTGTTTCGTCCTCATCACATACAGGTATGTTGTTACTGTTTCAAATTTAAATAATCTATTGCATTATATAAAAAGTTTATATATAGTTTATAAAGTTTCTTTTTTATAAATAGAAAATAGTAATTGAATAGATAAAATGAGTACTATATTAGAACCTTAGATTATCAGATTATGGCAAGGAGAAAATAGAAAATTATCTTTTAATGCAAAAAAGTGGTTTCTGAATTGATTTTGGATATTAAAATTTGAGTTTTAAAACATGAACAGTGTGTTTTTCATTTTGTGATCACTAAAGTATGTTTTCATATTTAATGTTTGAAAGTAAGTATATTGAATAATAATGTCTAATTCAAAGTTATGACATCAAAAATTTGAAAACTCTGTTTTAAAACGCATACACCTTAGCATTAATATTTTTTCCATAATTTTATTGAGAACCAAATAGCAATGAGATAGTTTCAAACCAAATCGGTAGGACAATTTCAATAGTTAACGCATTGCATACATTCTTCCTAGTGGTTAATTGCTGTACAAGATGCGGACATGATATCCTATTTACAAACACTATTAGAACAAATCCTTCTATTCATTAAGAGAATGTAACTATATATCTATCCTAACCACTTTGAATACACAGATACAAAATGGACATTCATCTGTATCCCATTTTATTGTTAAGTTCCGATTTTTTTTTTGCAGAACCAGGGATTGAACTCTGTCCCTCGCACTTGCTAGGGAAGCGCTTCTTTTACTGAGCCTTCTCCCCGGCCCCCCTTAACGTTAATATTTTTGTGCATTTTAAACCTTGTTTTATAACATTGTTAAAGAATACTTGCTCTTAGTCTTTTTTATAAATATCAAAAGTATTTATGTTAGAAAAAGTAGTTTCAGCCAATCAGATTTCTTTTGGACATTTTTTCCCCATATTAAATAGATCATTTGCAGTTTTTATGTTTCAGTTTTTGTTTCATTTGCTTTTAGTATTAGTAATTGAACTCCAGGACCTTCTGCTTGCTAGGCAGTTGCAATCTTAATAGGAAATTAAGCTTAGGCTTGTCATGAACAGAAGGTAACTAAAACAGGTGGCATAGCTAATCTAATTGCCACATTTAACTAAATGTATTAGGCAAGATGATGGGACCTCACAAATTCACAAAATGTATTCATTTTATACATTTTTATCATTATCAATGTATTCGGTTGTTACAGGATCTTACTGTGCAGCTCAGACTCGTAGTGATCCTCCTGTTTTCAGCCTCCCCAGTGCTGGGATTACTGTGTGCACCACCATGTCCGGACTCAGTGGCCTGCTCAACATGCCCTGTGGCAGAACCAATAAGGCGTGTGGTGCTGGGTATTGAACCCCAGTCCCTGTGCTTGCCTAAGCAGGCGCTTAGCTCATTGAGCTGTCTCACTGGCCCAGCGCTGTTTATTATTTTACTTGGTTCAAGCAACATATTCTGATTATTGTAAAACACAGATGCCTTTAAAAGTAGGTGCATTAGTTTAAGCAAAGCACGACAGGGAAATTTAGAGTCAGAGCCAACACTCACAAACATCTAAAATTACCCCCAATATCTATTAATTAACCAGGTAATGGAGGAAAGAATGAATCATACTTAGCATGCCCTTTTCCATAAAACTCAAAGATAAGTAATACTCTCAAAAGATAAGTCCATCCAAATGAAGTAACTTTAAGCATTTTCAGTTATAAAGTGTGAATAAGCTTCTATATCTAGAAGCTTATTTTCTGTACTGTCTTAGTTGCTAATATTTACTGAATGTGTCCTTAATCTTTGCTTTCTTTAAAAACTAACATTACAGGGCCAGCCAGATAGCTCAGTGGATTAAAGCGCTTGCAAGCAGGCTCAGGGGCCGGGCATCAATCCCTCGGCCTGCCAACTGTCCCTCAGCCCCACCCCTGGGGCGCACTGAGACAGCAATTGAGACTGGGCGAGGTGGCACATGCCTATAATCCCAGCTCTTAGGAGGCTGTAAACAGGCAGATCACTACGAGTCCGATATTGTACTGAGACCCTGAACACCCTGTAGATCCTTCCCTAAAATACAAAATAATAATAATAATAATAAATAACATTATGGGGATATTTAATACAGTATTAAGACAGTGTGAGAGGGTTTTCCAATTGAGATGTGTTTTCCTCACATGTTTTTTTTAAAACTGTCAAGATGAATAACTCATCAAAAACTTTTTCCAGGATGTATAAAACTTTTAATGTGCTTCACTGGATTATAACTTAATCATAAATATTTTCTCTTCATGCTTAATGTGGGCTTCCAACATTCTAAATTTTATAAAAGTAAAAGTACAGAACTATTCCCAAAAAAAGCAGCTGAAAAAAAGCCCAAAAAAAAAAAAAAAAAATGCTCAGTAGAAATGTGCTTCAGTTGTTTTTAGGTTAGATTTGGATTACAACTCTGAGGCAAAGCCAAGCATTTTCCCTCCAACAAGTCTCACCGATATCTGTGTATCTAAGAAATATCCTAAAAATAGATAATAACGAAATCATGATATCTATCTTGTAAAGACTTTTCCCTCTAGCACTTTTGAATGCCTCCTTCATGACCCTAAAATATAATGAAGCTCAACTGCAGTCAAGCATATTTATGTGTTCTGTAGTAATGTGTTTCATTTCTCAAGGATCTTAAGATTTTTTTTTGAGAAAATAAAAAATAATGAAACATTAGAAACAATATAGTATTTAAAAACAAAATGATAGGAATTCAACAATAGTTCTTATATTGTATATTATTGTCTTCAAAGTAGTTGTTCAGATTATCAGATATAAGCATGCAAAATTGGTCCAAAGAACAAAAATTGGGGGCTGGGGAGATAGCTTGGTAGAATAAGCACTTGCCTGGCAAGCACAGGGTCCTGAGTTCAATCCCCGGTAACAAACCAAAAACCATTGACTGTTCCTTTCAATAAACCAATAGAAATTAATTGTACAATTATATTATCTATCATATTTTAACTTCTTTTTTTTCTTCTTTCCCTCATCCCAGTTATTTCCTATTGAGCATTTTCTTTCCCTTTCACAATATCTATTGTACCTTTTGTATTTTATTTACTCTTTCAGGTTCTTACAATAGGGAGACAATGCAGGTCTCATCTTACTGAAAAGTTTTTGCACATCAAAAAAAAAAAAAAAAAAAAGAGTAGAAAGAAAAACCTAAGAATTGGGACAATATTTTAGTCAACTGTCCCTCAGACAAAGGGCTTCTTTCTAGAACATAAGAAAAATTTTTTAAAATATCAGGCCCCAGAATTCAAAGACCAATCCAAAACTGGACATCTGAGATGAATGCATACTTCTTGTTCTTTTCTGTCTACTTAACCAAGTCAAACATTACTAGGTTGAAAAAAGTAAGCTAATCGGACTTAAGTCTCTGAAACACTTAGCTATGAAATAAAAAGATTATTTAAACTTTTCAGAATAATTGTGTGGTCCAATGTGCATTATCAAATGTAACATAAGTACAATAACTATAATTTCCACATGCTAGAAATGAAAATTAACCTCATTCTTCGCATTCACTTCATATAATATTCTAGAATGGTAAGAATGTTTAAGTTCAATTATAGTTTATCTTTTTTGTTTCAAATTTATTTCATCTGTTTGTACTTATTTGTCTAGAAACCTAAAAGCTATACTGCTGCTGACGCAACTCTGAAAATAAATCCTCAATTAAAGATAGATGCACATCTGAACAAAGTATGTCCAGCCACTGAGGCCATTTACAATGATGAGTTTTATACTAAACAAGATATAATTATTACAGCGTTAGATAATGTGGAAGCCAGGAGATATGTTGACAGGTATGGTATGTTCCTGAAATGCAGGTTTATAGAGAATTATCTTTTATCTGTTACTTCTATTTCCCACACATACTTAACTGAAAATTTCCCTAATATTTTATTATTCTTTAGTTTCCTACTATCTTTCTCAAACCTAGAACATTTGATGACTTTGCATTATACTTAGAATAAAATTCAAAACTGGTTATGGCTTAAATATTTTTCATATATTACCTCCTACTTTTCTACTAATCTAGCATAAAATTTATCCCTTCTCTTTCTCCAAAGACCCCAACCTCTAGCCCACATCTACTTATCTACCCTTCACTTAATTTTTCTTCATCCTTCTGTTCTTAGTCTTCATGTCTTAAAACCTGCTTTCTTTAATCCCAAGTGTATTTTTTCCGTACATCTTCCTTCATAACTCTTAATTTATTGATACAAATATGTATATAATGCTTATTTCCTGACAAACATCATTTATTTTCTGTCATTTTATTCTTAGTTGTTGGAACATGCAGTTATTCATGAAATATTTGTTAAATGAGTAGGCAAATGAGGGACTATAGATTTGTACACCTCATATAGGCTTTCTTACCTCATTGTATGAATATTAAGATGTTAGAGTAGGTTTATGACTTTGTTGACAGTTCTAAGCTTAACTGAAAAGTTTAATTTTTCTTGTCAAGAAATCTAAAGTCTAAAGTTGCTAGTAATGAATAAAGAAATAGCAAAAACAAGACTATTTCAGAAATACTGACATAAAATTTAACAGAGGGATGTTAAAGTTTAACAGAGGGATGTCTACCAATTTAGAAATATAATGAAAAGATTGTAATCTTGGGTATAAGAAAAGGAGAAAATTTTAGGAAATTAATGTGTATAAAACTATAGGTAATCTAACTATTGAGAAAAGGCTAATACTGTTTGGGATAAACAATATTGGAAAGATATGGGAGGGTAGAATTCATAGTCAAAAAATAACCAAGAATATAGAAAGCAAGAGAAGAAATGCTAACACAGTAGAGATAAAAGTTATCAAAGCCCAGAATTTGATCCCAGTAGTAGAAGGAAAAGACAAGAACCTTGTTGATGAAACAAAGTTACATGTGTGGCAGGACTGGGAAATGGAACTGTTCAGTGGGTTTAATGGTAGTATGTTTCGTAAGATACTGCATTCAGAAAGTAATCATTCTGGATATCCTGAGTTTACATTGTTATTGCTCACTTTGTTTTTCATACTGTGCTTTCAAACAGCCGCTGCTTAGCAAATCTTCGGCCTCTCTTAGACTCTGGAACAATGGGCACCAAGGGGCACACTGAAGTTATTGTACCTCACTTAACTGAATCTTATAATAGTCATGTAAGTAAATCAATGCTTTGAAGTAAATGTCTTTTTTTAATCTGTCTCAGTGAGTCAACAAATTTTATTTTCTTAATCCGTTTGTGCTTTTTTAAAATTATGTCCATACATATACACGTTCAGTTTTTAAAATACAATTTCATGTACTTTTTAAAATCAAAATTTTGTCAGTATGTCTGAAATAGTCTTGTTTTTCCTATTTCTTTATTCATTACTAGCAACTTTAGACTTTAGATTTCTTGACAAGAAAAATTAAACTTTTCAGTTAAGCTTAGAACTGTCAACAAAGTCATAAAACTATACCATCTTCTGTTCTTTTGGTTTTACTATGTTAAGACAGCTGGTACAGTATATTTAAAAATGTAAGTCCAATTATGATGCACTCCCATTTTTGTTTATTTCCATTAAGAATTCACACCCCTAACATTCATTGTTAGAAATTATGTTGAAACCTGATGAGCATGTAACACTTAATCACACTTAAAATCTATCTAGAAAAGCCAGCAAGATAGCTCAGCAGACTAAGCACCTGCTCAGACAAGCACAGGCACCAGGATTCAATCTCGGCACCACATGCCACATCGCCCCCACCCCTGGGCATGCTGAACCAGCCACTGAGTCTGGGCTGAAAACAGGAGAATCACTATGAGTTCAAGCTGTGTAGTGAGACTCTGTACCAAATACATTAAAAAAAAAATCTAGAGAGTCACATTCTTCAAAGATAGAAACCAAAATCATCTATATCCAGATATTATGTAGGTGATATAAATGCGACTTTATAACTCCAGTAGATGATTCGGGAGCACTGCCAAAGTTAAAACCATTGGTCCAGGAAATAACTAGATTTAATAGTTTTCAAAAGATCTAGTCAAATAAAATAATAATATTTGTACAAGGGTAATTATTTAATGAATATGTTTGATTACTAAAATGTTTGTGGTTTTTCTAATAAGAGTTTTTTTTTTCTAAATTATGTTTCTTTGTAATAAAATAAGCTAAATTGACAAATTTTATCTGAAGATTAGATGGTAAAAAGTCATGATGTGCTGAACATGGTTTGAAGATTTTCAAAATAGGGAATGTAACACAGTTCTAAAACTTCCTATGAGTGTCTTATTGCCATATCTTTAAACCTTCTTTTATTATCAAATTCATAAAGCCCAGAATGTAATGTTCTTATGGCCTCCCTCTTTGATTTATAAAATAAATGTTTAATGATGTTTCATAAGAGATCAACAAATTGAAATACAAAGCTCTAAATAAAAAGAAAAGCTGTCACTTTTACATTGGATAAATGAATAAGCCTAGACTAATTATAGTAGATCATGAACTACTTCAGGGGTATTTCAGTACATGAAATAACTCTGATCACAGCTACAGTTCATGCAAGAAAGAAGGATCCTCAGTCTCTAGTGTTTTTATCCCTGGAAAGGCTCATGGTACACTGAGCACTATATTGATGATTCTTGAAGCACTTTTCAAAGGAGGGAGGAGTGTAGTATTTTACTTGTCATTGATTTCTCTAGAAAAGAATGAATTACGTATACTGATCCTCCCTGAGTATGCCAAATAACGTGCACAGATAATGAATGAAAGTAGAATTTGGGGCTGGGGAGATAGCTCAGTAGAGTAAGTGCTTGCCTGGAAAGTGCAGGGCCCTGAGTTCAATCCCCAGTACCAGAAAAAAAAAAAAAAAAAAAAAGAAAGAAAGTAGAATTTCTGTCTGTCATTCTGTTGGTGTTAACAAAGGTTAAACTTTATTTTTTTTTTTTAACATTTATTTATTTATTGTGTGTGTGTGTGTGTGTGTGTGTGTGTGTGTGTGTGGCCAGCTCAGCCCACCAGGGGGCGCGGCTGGCCGGCATGTGGTGCTGGGGGATCGAACCGTGGTCCCTGTGCTTTGCCAGGCTTGTTCCAAGTAGGTGCTTTAGACCACTGAGCCATCTCTCCAGCCCCAAAGGTTAAACTTTAAAAGGATTAACTTTTTTTCTTACTGCCTGCAAGAGAAGATGTAAAAATGTGTGGTTGGATTTTATTTCTTTATTTTTGGATTTTAGTTTTTGTGTTTGTTTTAAAAACTAAAACAATTGGAAAAATTTGTCATTGCTTCTCTTATATATCATTATATCTCATGACAGCGGGATCCACCAGAACAGGAAATACCATTTTGTACTCTAAAATCCTTTCCAGCTGCTATTGAGCATACTATACAGTGGGCAAGAGACAAGGTAAAAGTTCCTTTATAAGGAATTGGTTTTCTATGAAGTAGGAAGATAAATCTAACTTCTAAACAGACCTGTTTGTGATTTTGTTTATTCTTTATTCCTTATAGTTTGAAAGTTCCTTTTCCCACAAGCCTTCATTGTTTAACAAGTTTTGGCAGACTTACCCATCTGCAGAAGAAGTCTTACAGGTAAAAATTAGTGTATTTTAATATAAACCTGACACTGTGTTAATATAGTTTTCAAGTCCTCAGTGTTTATTTTACCAATTGCTGAAGCAATGTCATTGTATATGAAAAGAGAAATGGTATCAGCAGCCTTAAAATTAAATCATAAGCAAACTCTTTTGAGTTCAGTTGAACAACATAAAATTGTCAGTATTTGGCTATGTGTAACTGACATAAGAGCAACTCGTGGATCAACCTAATAAGAGTATGATAGTTAATTTTTTTATTTTAGTTTTTAATTTTATCGAGAAGTAGCAATGAGACAGTTTTAAAACAGGTTAAGACAGTTACAATAATTCATACATTGCATATTGTTGTCTTTGTAGTAGTTATTCATAGTATAAGATGTAGACATGATACCTTGTCTAAACACTATTAGTACAAACCTTTCTTCTCATTGAACTAAGAGATAGTAGCTGTATATCTAACATAACTATTTTGTATATACAGATATATATATATGGTTTTTTCTTTCACTACAAAATGCTCCTTTTTTCTTGTCCCCCTTTTTTCTTTAGTTTTATCAGAGATGGGTATTCCATTACCATTCAAATATTATAAGGTGTGATAGTTAATGATAAAACAGCGAAGAATAATAAAAGTACCTGTTAACCTCTTTGGGGGAAAAAAATAAATTCTAGTGAAAATGTCAGGAATGGACAGTGATCTTACTTTATATTTCATAATGGGACAGCTTCAAAGGTCTTTCCTTAGGCCTTAATCTTGACTACTAAAAAGGCCAGCTTTTAGTAATACTATTTATTGGGCTGCATATACTAAGTACATATATAAAAGTACATTTATAGTGCTCATATCTTACAGCTAGGAATACATGAGAATATCTTCTGAGTTAAACTTCATAGTTAAAATATCTTATGCTATTTTCTGATACTGTCTTCCTTTAAAAGAAATGAAAGAAGAGAAAGGCAGGCAAGGAGCTTGAAATGAAAGAAATAGAATAAGTACATTAAACACAGGAGTTGCCACTGCAGGCTTTGATGTTTATGGAATGTCGGTATGTTTTTAATTAAACATAGATTTGTTTTTGTTTTGCTTTTTTTTCCGCCTCCTATTGCAGAAGATACAAAATGGACAGAGTGTAGAAGGCTGTTTTCAAGTTATTAAGTTACTTAGCAGAAGACCTAGAAATTGGCCCCAGTGTGTAGAATTAGCAAGATTAAAATTTGAAAAATATTTTAACCATAAGGTAAGTACACATTTTGAAACATTAAGAAAAGATATGACCTCAGCTTACTTCTGGTAAATTAATGTCATTGGCCTGAAATGTTTACTCACTCCATCATCAAACTTTTCAGAAATAGGGAAAAGGTCTTGGCATATATTTTTAAATTCTGTTTATTGACCTGACATGTGTGCACTTAACTGATTTTTCTATGCTTTTCGTAGCTTTTCTCTCTCACACTTTAAGAAAGATGTTCAGAATACCATCAGGAAGCTAGCAAATAAAAGCTACTCAGCCTAGAACATTGTTGGAACTTTGCCTTTACCAGCCATCTGATTTTAGGTCTACATCCTCAACTATAAATTGAGAATAGATTGATGTCTAATACATGCATTGTGCCAGAAGTCAAATGAGTTAGTACATGGTGAAGCATTTACAAAGAGCCTAAGTAATCACCAACTAAAGTCTTCACACTTATAATTCAGTGCAGTTGTTAGAAGGTGGCCTGGACTCTAGTCTTACCCTTTAGGTTTTTGTTCAGGTTTCTATTCTACTCTCAGAATATGAATTAGCTAGACACTTTTTTTTGTCCTGGGAAGCCAACCCAAACTCTACTGCATACTAGGCAAGTGCTCTCACCTGTTACAAATCTTTTAATTATAACTGTCTTAAGTTTCTTGTCTTTTTACTTTCTTCATGGCTCTGCTGCTTGGAGAAGTACTTCCTTCTCCAGTAAATGCACCTCCCTTCCTATCTATTATTTGTTCTTACTGTCATTGCCAGTGACCTGTTTATTTCAGAATCTTAACACTTTTTAGATTTTGTATGAGTTTTTAAAACCTTTCCAATTATCAAAAAAATTCAACTACAGAAGTATATAAGAAATAGTTTAGTAATCCCCTAGTGTGTAATCATTGTCTTGTCACCTTAATCATCATCGCCTTAGATACAATTTTATTTAATCTACATCACATTCTCACCTTCCCCTAGATGATTCTGAAGCAGATTTCAAAATGCAAATGCTGGGGCCAGGGAGATGGCTCAGTAGAATAAAGTGCTTGCCTGGCAAGCACAAGGGCCTGAGTTCAATCCCCAGTTCTGCCAAAAAAAAAAAAATGCAAATGCTGTGTACTTTTCTTATTTCAATATATAAGGATTAACTTTTCTGAAAAGAAAAAAATGCCACCATTTGTAAGCAGATAAAGTAAAATTATCTTGTATTCTTGCTTGCTCTAGATTTTTTTTTTTTTTTTTTTTTGGTGGAACTGGGGATAAACTCAGACCCTTACACTTGCCAAGCAAGCGCTTATTCTACTAAGCCATCTCCCCAGCCCCAAGATTTTTTTTTTTAATGTACCTTAAGTCCATTACTTAAAATGTATTCTGTTTCAGGAGAGTGTTCATAAGTTGAATTCATTTCTGAGTCCAACAGAGAACAAATTTAAGACACAGGTATACAGTGTAAACCATTAAAAAACCAAACAAATACTGTAAATGAACTACTTTTACAGTTACCTTAAAATAGTAAAATAGACACATGAGCTACTTCCATGATTTGTTCACAGTTATACAGGTTCACAATGCAAGGTCCAAAAGTTGGGAATGAGCTATAATAAAAAAAAATGGTAATTAGGTTTTTTTTTGTTTGTTTGTTTGTTTGTTTGTTTTGTTTGTTTTTTATGTATAGGGCTTAGTGATAAGAGAAAAAACAAACATCATAAAGATGGCTGGAGGGCCAGCCAAATAGCTCAGCAGATTAAAGCGCCTGCAGGTAGGTGCAGGGGCCTGGGTTTTGATCCCTGGGCCTGCCATGCCAGCACCTTCCCCAGGGCACACTGAGCCAGCAAGACAATTAAGACTGTGCATGGTGATGCGTACCTGTAATCCCAGCTCTTGGGAGGCTGTAAACAGGTGGATTACTACAAGTCTGATCTAGTAGTGAGACCCTGAACACCCTGTAGACCTTTCTCTAGAATACAAAAAAGAAAAAATGGTTGGAAGACTTCAGTGTACTGTGTCATTTCATATAACATGTTAACTGATAATAATTGTGCAGATGAAAGGGCTTTGCTGTGACCTTTCTGTACATGCTTGTATTAGGGTTGATCATATCCACCTTCCCTAACTATGCACGCTGTTCTCTCTTCTCCACCCTTCTCTACTCCCTCATTGCATTTCCTCATACAATTTCCTAATACTTATTCTTCTACTTTCAGATCTTTTAATTTTCTTTTTCCTCATATGAGAGAGACCATACAGTATTGTCCTCTTGGGTCTTATTTTACCTAATATGGTATCTATCAGATCCATCCATTTTCCTACAGAGGATATGATTTGATTCTCCCTAATGGCTAAATAGTATTCCATTCTAAACATATAGCATGCTTCTTCATTTGTTGATTGGCAGCTAGACTGATTCTATGTCATTATTGCAAATACTGCTGTAGTAAACATGTATATGTAGGTGTCTTTCTTGTCTAATGACTTTAGTACTGTTGAGTATATACTAGGGAATGGTATAGCTGTATCATGTGGCAGTTCTACTTTCAGTTTTTGGAGGAACCACCACACTATTTTATAAAGTGAGAGTACTAATTTACATTTCAACTAATAGTGTATAAGGGTTCTTTTTTTTCCACATCTTTCCAGAATTTATCATTTATTACTATTTTTATAATAGCCATTCTGACCAAGGTATGGTGGAAACATGATACAGGTTTGATTTTTATTTCTCATGACTAAAAATATTGAGCGTCTTTTTATATTTACAGGTCATATATTCTTTTGACAAATAATCTAGAGCCAGTCGTGGTGGCACACACTCAGCACTTGAGAGGCTGAGGCAGGAGCAGCAATATAAATTTGAGGCCAGTCAGTGCTACACAGGAGTTCAGACGAGATTACTTGTTCTTTGATTATTGGTTTTTATTTGTCTGTTATAATTTGGATATTCTGTAGATTAATAACTGATAAAGGTATTCTCTTATTCAGTAAGGTGGGTGACTCTTGACGGTATTGTTTCCTTTGCTGTGAAAAGCTTTTTAATTTGATGTGATTCCATTTGCTAATTCCTGCTTTTATTTCCTGGGCTGTTGAGTCCTAATCAGGAAATCATTACCAATGCCGGTATCTTGAAATATTTCCCCTATTTTTACTTCACTAGTTTTAAGTTTTAAATTCTTTAATCCATTTTGAATTGTATTTTGAACTGAGAAAGATCTGGTTTCAGTTTTTTATATCTAGACATCCGATTTTCCCAATGCCATTTACTGAAGGGGCTATATTTCTCCAGCATCTGTTCTTGGAAGTTTGTTAAGAATCAGGTGGTCATAGATGTATTGATTTATTTCTGGGCCCTCTATTCCTTTCCATCATCTACATGTCTTTTTCTGTCATTACTGTAAATTTTTTGCATGCTTTCAAGTAAGATACTGTGATGCATCTGGTGTTGCTCTTTTTGCCTCAGATTAATATGGCTATTTGGGGCATGTTGTGTTTAAATGAATTTAGGATTTCTTTTTAGTTTTGTGAAGACTGTCACTCATGTTTTGATGGGTATTTCATTGTATCAATTGCTTTTAGTAGTGTGGCCATTTTAACAGTATTTCCCCAATCTATGTACAGCTTGTAGTGTCTTCTGTTTCTTTCTTCAGTGTTCTATAATTTTAACTGTATAGGTTTGTTGGTAAGGTTTATTGGTAAGCTTTCTGATTTTTTGCATTTTATTGAGGTTATTATGAATGGGCTTGGTTTTGTGATACCTTTCTCATTGAATTCTCATTGCTGTACTGAAAAGTCCTTCATTTTTGTATTTTGTGTCCTACTATTGTACTGAGTTTGTTTACATTTTGAAGAGTCTTTTGGTATAGGGTCTATACAGTTTCTTAGGTGTAGAATTCCATTATGTACGAACAGGAATAATTTGACTACCTCCTTTCCTGTTTGGTGTACCTTTTATTTTTTCTGTTGCCTAATTGCCAGATTTGGAATACCATGTTGAGTCAGAATGGTGAGAACAGACCCCCTGTAGTTGTTGCTGTTCCTGACTTGAGGGGAAATGCCCCTGTGTTTTGATTTATGAAGCATGTTCATATATTTACAACACATAAAAATTTTTAATTCTAGAAAATGTTTTTGCCCAGATAATTTAAATAATGCATTTTGTTAATTCTTTTTGTTCTGTTTTGTGTTTTCTTCAGGCGCTTCAACTACTTCATTGTTTTCCTCTGGACACACGATTAAAAGATGGCAGTAAGTATAAGCAAGTGTTGAGAAGCTCTTTTAATCTTAATTTCTTACTGATGTTAAAACTAACATTTGTGTCTTTTCATTAGGTTTGTTTTGGCAATCACCAAAGAGGCCACCATCTCCGTTAAAATTTGATTTAAATGAACCTTTGTGAGTATATACATACATATATATTTCTTAAGTTTACATTGCAAGATCTTTAATTTTAAATGATCATATCCCTGTTATTCAAAGAGTTCAGTCAAAGTGCTTCTTGCTACATAAGTGTAAATGCACTTACTTACATGGTAAATCACTTTATTATTTATAATATCCTTTGTAAGGTAAAACCAAGTCAATGCTTGGACTTTGTCCATAAGGAAGTAAAACAAAAGTAAATAATTTTATATTTAATAAAGCTAGGGATCTTTAGTTACATGGAAGAAGCAGTTATCACTAAGTATCCCCCAAATAATCAAAAACGATTTCAGAAAAGTTGGTTTCTGCAGGAAGAGCTGCACTTACTAAATTTATGTGCAGGGTGTGTACTTTAAATGCTTAGCCTAATCAGGTACAGTGTACCTATCGTCCCAGCACTCTGGAAGGCTAAGGCAGGAAGAATGGAGGTTTGGATCCAGCCTGGGCAACTTTAGTGAGATCTGGTCTCAAAAACTGAAAAAGGTACAAGGGATATAATTGAGTGTGGAGACTGTGGGTTCAATCCCCAGTACCATGAAAAAAATACATTTAACTTGCCTTCACTAATCCTCCTTTCAACAAATCTTCCTTTCTTTAATTTTCTCACAAAGTGCTTGTTTTAGTCTTTTAGTCATCTTATCCTGTAAGACACAGGCTTTCTTGTTTTTTTGAACCCATTTGTTTATAAACAAACTCATTTGAACCTCATACACACTCCTGGTGTACAATATTTTTTGTAGATTAAAATGAATTTTTTTCCGCTAGTCCAGTGGTGGCGAACCTATGACATGGGTGCTGCAGCTGGATGCTCTCTAAAAGATTCACAATCTCTGCACTAGTCTTAATTTTTTTTCTCTCTTTTTTTTTTTTTTTTTTTTTTTTTTAAGTATTTGGTAAAAGGTCTCACTACACAGCTCACTCTTATAGTGATCCTCCTGTTTTCAGCCTCCCCAGTGCTGGGATAACAGACATGTGCCACCACGCCTGGTCTTGGCAGACCCAGTGCACCTGGGGGCAGGGCTGGTGCAGCATGTGGTGCGGGTGTTCTAACCACCAGTCCCTTAGTCTAAGCAGGCACTTAATCTGCTTGAGCTTTCTTGCCAGCCCTAATTTTTATACTGATTTTTGTGCTTCTTTCCTCAAAGTAGTCATGATGACTACCTGAATACTGTTAATTTTTTTGAGACTAAACATCTGATATTTTCTCTACTCTAGCTTCTGTAATGTTTTGGTCTAGGCCAGATTTTTGTCTTTTAAAAATTAATCCTGTAACAAAAAATATCTGGTGATTTTTCCTCAAATATGATTTTAGAGGCTGAATTTGCTGATAGTTGTATTGTGAATTCAAACTTGGCTTTATATTTTAATTTCAAAAGGCACCTCAGTTTCCTTCAGAGTGCTGCAAAACTCTATGCTACAGTATACTGCATTCCATTTGTAGAAAAGGTAAGCTATTATTCAAATTCCAGCAGTTGATGCAAAACCAAGTTAGCATTAGTTGAATCAAAATGTATTTTTATGTCTTTCTGTTTACTATGAATTTTTTATTTTGTTGTCCTATTGTTTAGTCTTATATAATAGAAGGTGAACATTCATTGCACTATTAAGCAAAAGTTGGATTTTTCTTCCTGAATTAAGAAACAACCATATTTTTAATGCAATTATACTTTATTTTTAAAACATTTATAACTTGTTTATCAGTTCCAGTTATCCTTATTCTAAAAGGCTCTAGTGAGCCATTTCATAGCAGCTTGAAAATACTCCTAGAAATTATCATTGTTAACTTTTTTTTTTTTTTTTTTTTTTTTTATTTTAGGGAAGGGTCTACAGGGTGTTCAGGGTCTCACTACTAGATCGGACTTGTAGTGATCCACCTGTTTACAGCCTCCCAAGAGCTGGGATTGCAGCCTCACACCACCACGCCCAGTCTCAATTGCTGTTTCAGTGCGCCTCAGGGGCAGGGCTGGCATGGCAGGCCCCCGGGATCGAACCCCCAGCCCCTGAGCCTGCCAGCAGACACTTTAATGCACTGAACCATTTGGCTGGCCTATTGTTAACATCTTTATGTATTTTCTGGTATGAAGTTATATACTTCCCCAGCAATCTAAAAGTGCTCCCTTGTATTGATCTTTCTCTATTATTACAATTATTGTTAGTATTATTATTTTGGCTTTTTGAGACAGGATTTCACTATGTAGTTCAGGCTGACCTTGAACTCATTTTGTAAGGCAGGCTGACTTTGAACTGTAGAGATCGATCCTCCTGCTTCAGTCTTCTAAGTCCTGGGATTACAGGTGTGTGTCACCACACCTGGTTACCAGTTATGAGAACTAACTAACTTACTTTCAGATTGGCTAAATGGAGAATTATGACCCAGCTCCATAATTAATGCAGGCTCTTTCGGATCCATATAGAAATACTTGTTGTAGATTGTTTTGGCTTTGATGTAAATATGTAATAAAAGTAGTGGTAGTCACTTTGTTTTTTTGTCTGGTTTGATTTTTGGTGTAGAAGATGCTGTTGTAAGAGTGGTAATTGTCTGCAGCAGCAGTATGTCTGTTTCCCCTAAGCACCTTCTTTTTTTTTTTTTTTTTTTTTTTTTGCTGTACCGGAAATTGAACTCAGGACTTTGTGCTTGCCAGGCAAGCACTTATTCTACTGAGCTGTCTCCCCCGCCTCCTAAGCACCTTCTTAGTCACAAATGTGGGTCCAATAGACTTTACTTCTTTAAATTCATTTTAAAATATTTAAATATTTTCCTGCTTCTTAAGATACGCATTTAATTTACTTATGCATCATAGCATTGTGTGGGAAACTAAAACACTGAAGGTAAGATCAAATGGCAGTCCCCTTTTTAATGTTTGCAAAAAGAACCAAGATTTCAGGTTTGTTTTATCTAATTACGGGTGATACTTTTATGAAAATAAAGGCAAATGGATTTTGCCTTTATGACACATTCAAATGCCTTGGAATGACAAAGGACCTTTGATAGGGTATTTTAGCAGTAGAATTCAGAATTGCAGCAGTAGTTGTTTGTTGACTAAATTGCTTTTTTTTAAACAGGACTTAACAGTAGATGCCCTCGTGAATATTCTTTCAGAAGTAAAGATTCAGGAATTCAAGCCATCCAGTAAGGTTAGTTTAGAAACATAAGGTTTATTTAGCTAATGGTTACTGAACTTTCTCTTGCATCAGGTTTATATTCTCCACCTAGAGAATACCACAGTGAAAAATCCATGTCCTTGTGGAGGTTATATTCCAATGGGATGGAGAAGGGTGATTCTTTAAAATGCCAATAAATATGTAATGATGTAAGTGCTAGGAAAGTTAAAGCAAGGAAAAGAAAACATTAGAACTGATATAATTTTATATGATATGAAAAGAAAAAGCTTTGCTGGAAGGAAGTGAGGAATGAGCCATGCTAATATGATATCTGATCATGCTGATATCTGATATCAACAGTCAAAGCAGAAGGAAAAAGTGCAGAGAAAAAGTCCAGGGAAACCTGCTCAGTCCTGAACTGTCTTGTCAGAATATGCATGAGAGCAGGATGCAGTGAGGTTGGAGAGCTGTTTAGGTTGTGATAACTATATTGTATTTTACTGTGAAAGAAGAAGGTAGTGAAAGGTTTTAAGGAGAAGAATAACACAGTATGACCCTGCTTTAAAAAAAAAAAAAAAGACAAAAAAAAATTCCCGGGAGCAGCTCAGACGAGAGTTAGCATTTCTACTCAGATTTCATAGCCAAAATATCAGTTACACATGCTGGCTAAAAAAATTTTCTGCTTACTTGATTCCTTAATATATCTTAAACATATATCTTTATGTAAAAACAACCATATATGCTTTATCTAAAAAAAAAAAAAAAAAAGATGTGGGTGTATATTTTAAATAAATACTTTAATAAGTAATGATAAAGTTTTTTTTTTTTATTCATAGTATTGACTTTACTGCTCTCATGGAATATCCAATGAGTAAATACTTTAAGTGTAAATTTTTGTGGTATGTGTAGCTTCAATCATGTTATATTTATATATGAAATAAGACATTGTTTTTGAAGGGACTTCCTACCAAAAATTAGTATTTAAGTGATTTTTTTTTTTGTGTGGAACCTGGGATTGAACTCAGGTACTTGCGCTTTCCAGAGAAGTGCTTATTCTACTGAACCATCTCCCTGACCCCTATGGTATGTTTTTATGAAGATTTCTTCAGTATCATTTGCCTAAAGTAGAATTATCAGAATGAAAATTCTACATGAACTTCATTTTATTTTGAAATTTAAAGAATTCCGAGTAAACTGTTTTCATAAATATTTGTAACATGTAATATGAAATGATTGTTTTAGACATAATGGAGATCTCAAAAGAAAAACCTGTTCTTAAGAAAGTTTACAAAGTGCCAGCTTAGGCAGAGTGCATGGACCAGGGTTCAATCCCCGGCACCACCCCCAGAGCACACTGAGATGTCAATTGAGACTGGCGTAATGATGTGCACCTGGAATCCCAGCACATTGGGAGGGTGGAAACAAGATTACTACCAGGCTAGTCTATGTAGTGAGACCCTGTAGACCCTGTACTAAATACATAAAAAGAAAGTTTACATGCCAGTGTGATACGACAAATCATAAACGTGTAAATAGTATCAGTTACTAAACGAAGATATAAAATGCATTGGATTGCAATGATTAACTATCAGATTAAGATACGTAGAGGAAATATTTGCTCTTCATGCTCATTTGATAAAACAAGTAAGTGGTAACTAAAGTTAAATGTATGATGTGGTGACGTTAATAAATATATATACCTATACTTAAAGGTTGTTCAAACAGATGAAACTGCACGGAAACCGGATAATGTTTCTATTAGCAGTGAAGATGAGAGGAATGCTGCTTTCCAACTAGAGAAGGCCATTTCATCTAATGAAGCCAGCAGAAGTAAGGCACATTCTTCACTGAACTGCTTTGAATTGGATAAACTATCATTTCCACTAACTTCCATGCTGAAAAGTTTTTGGGATTGCATTACAGTAAAAATATAAGTTAATGCCATGATCACATGAAAGTTACTGTTCATCTTTATAAATAAATTCATCCTTTTCCCACCATGACTGTCTCAACTGTTGAAATCTATATTTTCTTAATCACATAACTACTTTGTTATTATAGTTCTGACTGTTTTAGTCCTGCAGATGGTGAGCAGATCTAAACATATAAGCACATACCTCTGTTTTTGAGAAATTGTAATTTCAAGTTAATGAGGTCTTTAGAGAGACTGATTTTTAGACAAACACATTCAAATTGTTTAGGTTAAATGCTCTTACAGAACTCTTCTTAGTTTCTTATTCTCCACAATTACTGACAAAAGTGCAAGCTCACCTGAATACATCCCTGTTTAGGGAACTTAATTGTCAAAATATAGTAAAATTAAAAGCCATTTGTTAATCACTAAGTCTTTGGTTTCCAATCTTAGGATTTCATACATGGTCTGGTAAACTTTCAAGAAAATAATTTTAGAATAATAAAAAGCAGACTGATTTTGAAAATGGCTGATCTAGAAATCTTTCAAAAAGATATATTTTCAACAAGTACAGATGTTGACTTTAATTATGAACTACTTGTCTCATTTTACTATTTATTGGAAGGATTTTTAATATTAAAACCTCTATAATTTGTTGATATGAAAATCATTTTTATATCATTCTATAATTTCAGTTGCCTGGATTTCAAAATACTTTTTTCAGTTGCTTAAAACCATAAAGAGAATCTTTGAAAGTAGTGAACCTACATTGCTTTTTACCTAGCAGAATCTCTAACACTTACAGAGAACTTTATCTTCTGGTTGCACTTATCAGGTGACCTTCAGATGGCAGTGCTTTCATTTGAGAAAGATGATGACAGTAATGGACACATAGATTTCATCACAGCTGCGTCCAATCTCCGTGCCAGAATGTATAATATTGAACCAGCTGACCGTTTCAAAACAAAGCGCATAGCTGGTAAAATTATACCTGCCATAGCAACATCCACTGCTACAGTTTCTGGCTTGGTAAGCTTATTGTTTGAATTAAAATGTTCCTTTGCACTCCTCTTCCCTGTTTTCCCCATCATAGCAACCCCAGCTAATCCCTTAGAGATGGAGGATAAATATCTGATTTAAAATTTCAAGGTACTTCTGAAAATGTAACAGTTTAAGATTTTATATATGTAAACAATTGAACATAAAAATGTGCTTGATAACCTTTGGGGAAGGCAGGTGGGTACAGGAGATCAAACTCGTGCCTTGCTGTTGCCACCCTAGCTCTTACGCTGCTGAGCTCCAGCTCCCTACATAATTTTTATAGGCAGTAGTCTCAGTTATCTTTATCTCTCCATAGGAAGCAAGGACTGTTCTTCTTGAATAAAAAGAATTGCCTTATACTTTTAAGTAATTCAGAATTAAGTTTTGGCTTCAGTAAAAAGATTACATGGTCAAACTTACAGTTCTTAAATAACTTCATTTACTTTGTATGGAATAGGTTGAAAGTTTGAAGGTAAGATATTAAAAATGTAGAGACCTATAAAAGAAATGTGTATTACTATTTCAGAAAAACACCTGAGAATTTATAAAACTGCAAATATCCAATTAATGTATTAATAATTTAAGCTATATACTCAGATGACTTTCTTTTACCTAGGTCGCCCTAGAGATGATCAAAATAGTTGGTGGCTTTCCATTTGAAGCTTATAAAAACTGTTTCCTTAACTTAGCCATTCCAATTATAGTGTTTACAGAAACATCAGAAGTAAGAAAAACTGAAATCAGGTATGTATGCACATCTCTATCTTGTATAATGAGCATTTTATAAAATATTTCACCTTTTAAAAGGGATAAATATTGGTGTCACCTCCTTCTGTATATGTAAATCCTTGTTATCAACTCAAGACTGTTGAACTTCATTTTCATTAAGCATTTCTGACTAAATTAACTAAAGAACTCACAGCATTTGATCAACCACACAATATAGCATTAGACTGCATGCATTTATCTGTCTAACTAGAGAAGTTAGAAGGCACCATGGTATCTGTTATATTTACGATCTAATTGTACAAACTGAGACAATAACTCCCTGAGACTCCATTTTCACTTTAAGTTTGGCAGCAACCAAAACTTGAGGAAAGAAATTATCTGGCAGGAATATGAAAAATCAGAAGAGAGTATTTCATTGTAGGGGAAGTATGGCACTATATTTCAAATGTATAGATATCTTTGCACACATCTCAAGCTATTTGTATGTCAGATAATCATTCTGACATTGTTTATAATAGCCACTGATTGGAACAATCCAAATAGCCAGTAATAGTGGGCTGGATCATCCATATGATGAACACCTGAAGTAAGCTGTTTACGGAGAGATGGAGCAGAACTTCTCTCAGACAACGGATTTGTAGTGAGTCACCCACAGGGTCATAAAAGCCAGATCAAAGTTCTTATGTGCTATGGAGATAGAGGCTGTGCAGTATTTTGCAAGTTGTATGTTTCCTTTTCCTCACCTTAATTTCTGATTCACACATCAAAACAACTGCTATAAACAGTTTTTTTATTCTTACTAAATGGAAGAAAAATAAAATATTTTCCTGTAACAGAAATGGAATATCATTTACAATTTGGGACAGATGGACTGTACATGGAAAAGAAGATTTTACCCTCTTGGATTTCATAAATGCAGTCAAGGTGAGAGACTTTTATTCATGTGGTTTGTGATTGGCTTTGATTGTAGTTTCTGTTTATAGTAGTATTCCTTCCCTATTTGCTTGGCTTATATTCCAGGACCCCTAGAGAATGGCTGGCCCCTAAATCTCATTTCTTCTATATTTACATACCTATGATAAAAGCTTAATTACAAGTTAGGCACAACTTAATAATCAGAATAGAAAAATTGCAACAAAGAACTGTAATAAAATCTAAGAATCTTACTGTAAAGTAGATCTTAGCAACCTCAGCATGATTTCTTTCCTCTTGAAGTTGAGAATTGTCACCTTTTCATTTAAAAGAAACACTTTACAGCTTTCCTTTAGCATGTCAGAATTGCCAGTATCAAAATTCTTGAGCCTGCAGAGCCATTGTGAAGTAAAATAAGAGTTACCTAGACACTGACTGCAGCTGATAACAAGGTAGCTGCAGTGTGACTAGAGAGAGGCAGTGTATATAGCATATGTGTGCTGAACATAGGGGTCACTCACATCCTAGGGGCGTTGGAGATTTCATCCTAAGAATGGCCCACAATTTAAAATTTACAAATTGTTGATTTCTGGAATTTTCCATTTAATATTTTCAGACTGTAACAGTAAAGTGAAACCACGTGTTTTACTACTATAGTTTTTACTTACAACTTTAATGAAAGTAATAAGTATTATTTAGGACAGATTTATTCTCTTTACTGATTACAAAACATTCTCACCAAGGTATTTTATGTTTGGGTGAGACTTTGATTGTTTCTCTTTTGGATATTCATTTTTAGGAAAAGTATGGAATTGAGCCAACAATGGTAGTTCAGGGAGTCAAAATGCTATATGTTCCTGTAATGCCTGGTCATGCAAAAAGATTGAAGTTAACGTAAGTAGTTTCAGCCATTATATACAAAGAATCAAAACATGAGTAGATGCACACTGGAAAATTAAATGTAAAGGTACTGAAATTCAGGTAAGAGCATTACTGTTACATAATGATGTTAGTAAAGACAGCAAATTCTTCCTGATAAGGTCAGTGGGCTGCCTTTTAAGGAGTGTCTCAGGATTATGATACCCTCGTGAATTTATAGTCAGATCTTCATGTACCAGGCTTAGAAACTGAATAAAGAGGCTAGGGAGATGGCTCAGTGGAATAAGTGCTTCCCTGGCAAGCGCAAGGGCCTGAGTTCAATCCCTAGTTCTGCAAAAAAAAGAAGAAAGAAAGAAACTGAGTAAAAAGAAACCTGCCACATAACATGGAAATGTCATAATGGGACTTATGAGAATGCACTGTAAAGCCAGTTACCAGATACCCATTTATTCTGCAAATTTTTGTTTAAGGTACCTGCTTCGTGCAAGGGCTGTCATAAGCACTAGGGTACAGTGAAGAGCAAAGCAGAGTCCCCTGCTGTTGGAGTTTGCATAGTAACCAGGCTGGCTTTGAGATGGCCATTGCTGTGGAGACAGTAAAGAGTAAAGAGTGATTGCAGGCATGGTACTGCTCACCTTTACATTATACTTTCTGTGCCTGTCATAGTCTCATCCTATGAAGGGGCATTGAGCAGAAAAAGAAAGGAAGAAAAGGAGCCAAAGAAAGCCAGAGTCTTTGAGGTGGTCTGAGACTCTGGATAAGCTGTTTCCAACCATTCCCTTCACAGTATCCAGGGCACATTGGCCTCCTTAATGTTGCCTCGAACACACTCCTGTCAGGGTCCAGCATAGGACCTTTGGTCTGGTCCCTATACTTGTAATTCTTTCTGAGATGGCAACAATGGCAATTTTCAGGTCTGGTCTTTGCACTTCTTTAAAGACCTTTCTGAACCTTCTTTAATACTGTATTATGTCGCTATCACCCCTCTGGTATACCCAATCCTCTATATTCTCTTTTATTTTTCTTGGGACTCCTCACTGTCCTATGTACCTAGCAAATATTCTTCTTTAAATCTTTTTATTATTTCTACCCAACTAGAGCATAAGTCTCAACAAAGGCAGAAGCCTTTATTTGGTCTGGTCATTTTAATACACCTGCTAACTTTTGGTCATTTTAATTCACCTGCCAGTTTTAAAAGTATGCTCGTCTTAATTATCTTTACCTTAATGTATTGGCTAAGACATCAGTTTGTCTCGTATTACTTGCATTAGTATCCTTAAGGCTCTTTTGCATAAATTAAGATAATATTTGTTATCCTTTAGTTGTATGCTATCTAGTTGAAAGTGGAATGTATGGTCATAAAGTGTATTGATCAGGAATTTTAATATCTACTGCAAATAAAAATGCTTTCCAAGGGGCCGGGGAGATAGCTCAGTAGAATAAGCGCTTGCCTGGCAAGCTCAAGGGCCTGAGTTCAATCCCTGGCTCTGCCAAAAAAAAAAAAAAAAATGCTTTTCAAATGCTTTTCAGGGCCAGGGAGATAGCTCAGCAGCTTAAGCGCCTGCCTGGCAAGCACAAGGTCCTCAGTTAGCTCTCCAGTACAAAAAAAAAAAAAAATGCTTTTGAGTGTTGACCAGTATTTTTTGCCTCCAGCAGGATATACTTTATGAATGATATTTGTAAAGTTATTACAGTTAATTTAGCAGGTATTTATTGAATACTTATTAAGTGGCTGGATGCCCAAGGTAGTCATGGTGTTGAAGTTAAAAACATGAGCTGATTTAAAAGTGTGTTCACATGCTTGCACGGCTACTTGTTTTGAACTAAGTAGCTTTTGAATTCCCTGTCCACAAATGTGAATGATTGTATGCAAAGCTGTTGAGCATTATATTAATAGTGAGGCCTGCACAACAGTGTAATGGAATGGAGGAAGGATAAATGGTACTTGTTAACACTAGCATTATACAAATAGCCCAGCTTTCAACAGTTCAGTTTACTAAGGGAAATTAATGTTACCATTAATTAAATGTAATTCATGCATTATAGTAAAGACTT